AAAAATACAAAAAAAAATTAGCTGGGCATGGTGGCGCGTGCCTGTAATCCCAGCTACTCAGGAGGCTAAGGCAGGAGAATTGCCTGAACCCAGGGGGCGGAGGTTGCGGTGAGCCGAGATCGCGCCATTGCACTCCAGCCTGGGTAACAAGAGCGAAACTCCGTCCCAAAAAAAAAAAAAAAAAAAAAAAATGATATGCCATAGTATAAAAATACAGAATGCATACCGTGGAAGGACAAATATTGTTTTGTAAAGTTTTTCAATATATATATAAATGTATATTAGATGTATATAACATGTATTTACATGTGTAATAATTGTAACTACAAATGTGTTCCCCGCGCGCACACACACACACACACACACACACTCAAGCTTGGACTTGTTTTGTAAACTGTTTCGCAGTGTGGATCTTGGTTCCAAGTTTGAAAACCCTTAAAACAGAGGATCCAGAAGGATCCGGGCAAGGTAAATTCAAGGTCAAGGGAGAGTCCCTTTTCTGTCCCCTAGCCATCCAATGCAGTTAACGGAGGGAGAGGAAATGTCGTGTGGGGGAGGGCACCAAAGAGTGAGGCCAAACGTGGAGAAAGAGCGCGTCAGGACTGGGTGGTGCCGGGCGCCTTCTGCCTTAGTCAATTGAGGAACTTGGAGAGGTTGACTTTGGGTGCATTCGTTAAATACTAAACCGAAAGAACTTTCGCGTTTCTTGTCCCTGAAAAGCTTGCAACAGTGAAGGACTCGCGTTGCTCCTTGAGGTGACCCTATAAGGGGTCAGTCCCAGCCAAAGGAATGATTACGATTATTACCAGGGGCCAGATGTAGGGCGGTGGGCGGGGCGTGGGAAGCGCGGGAAGTCCGGGCAGGGTAGGTCCACATAGCGATTCACGTCGTGCTCTGCACAGCCCACCGGAGGGAACAAGCAGTTATACACACTTTTGGGACCCCTATCGAGGCGAGACCCAGAACACGAGTGGAAGTGCACTCTTTTCGCCGGCCAGAGGCGCCATCCGCCAAAGAGCAGTACTCGTCTCCGCCCCAAGCCAAGCAGCTGGAAGGCTCCGCGTCTACAAGCCGAGCCCCCACGTGACATACTGCGCGGGCCACCGCCTCCACCGCGCCCAGGCCCCGCCCCCGTGACGTATCACCGCCCTCTGCTTGTCCGAGCGTTCGGCTCTTTTGGGTTCGCTGATTGGCCAGCCCAGGTGACAGCACCCACCCCCACCCCCTCCGACACGCCCCTGGAGCCTTGGGGAACGCGGTGGAGGGCGGGGCCTGGGCCGGAGGGGCGGGGTGAGAAGGCTGCGCGCGGGTAAAGGGGCCGCCTCGAGCGCGGTCCGAGCGTTCAGCGGACGCGCGCGGCCTCGCTCACAGGACTCGTCACCCGCCCCTCCCCCTCCCGCCGCCGTCACCCGGGAAACCGGCCTCAATCGCTGGCGGACCTGAAGCTGGTTTCATGGCAGCCTCAAAGAAGGCAGTTTTGGGGCCATTGGTAGGGGCAGTGGACCAGGGCACCAGTTCGACGCGCTTTTTGGTGAGCCCGGGGTGACATTTGAAGAGGCGCTGAGCCGGGGAGGGAGTTGGGGGATGGAGGTGGTGGCTGTTGTGTCCCCATCCCGCGTCTCTTCAGCCCGGGACCCCGGCCGCTGGGCAAGGGAGGGAGGCTGGAACGGGACCTACCATATTAGGGGTGCTCCACCTGGGCCTGGGGGACCTCGGCCTCTCGTGACCTCCACGGCCGAGTTGAACGGTCTCAGTTTTGGTAGCGAAGCTGAGTCAACTACTAATGGGGTGACTCTTCCCCCAAAGGGAGCAGGGACTGTCCGAGCATCCGCGCAGAGCGGCCCGCTTGCAGGAGGGGACAGGTGGCCACATTGACGGCTACCGCGTTCTTCCCCAGGAGCATTTGGCCTGCGAGACACAGGACGTCCTTGGATGGGGGGAAAGCTGTGTCACGGCTGTGGTAGCTAACACAGCGCCCTTTCCAGCAGTAGAACGAATAAAGTATTGGAGTGATGATGCGTTGTCATCCTCTCCCACAGAAATTGCAGAGGGTTGAATAGTGGGGAGGGTGGCAGAACAAATTAGGAAACAATCACACTACACTGCTTTTGCCAGAATATTTAATTCTGAAGATTCGGAAATTTCAGCTCTGAGACTCTGTCCATTATGAACAAATGATTGTCCTCACTATGCTTCCCAGCATAATGTGAGATGGAAATTCGGTTTCTCTTTTTATTTATCATGTGTGACAGCACAGTTTTACCACAAAAGATTGCTATTTAAGTTACTCTGCTGATTAATTTTTGTGCAATTAGGAAACTTGCTCTTAAAGTGACCTAGCACTGAGTTCAGTAGATAATTTAAAAGTAATTGAGGCCGGGCACCGTGGCTCACGCCTGTGATCCCAGCACTTTCCGAGGCTGAGGCGGTTGGATTACCTGAGGTCAGGAGTTGGAGAGCAGCCTGGCCAACCTGGTGAAACCCCCTCTCTACTAAAAAATACAAAAATTAGCTGGGCATGGTGGTGGGCACCTGTAATCCTAGCTACTTGGGAGGCTGAGACAGGAGAATTATTTGAACCGGGGAGGCGGAGGTTGCAGTGAGCCAAGATCACACCATTGTACTCCAGCCTGGGTGACAGTGAGACTCTGCTTAAAAAAAAAAAAAAGAAAAGAAAAGAAACAAAAAGAAAAGAAGCCGGGCGCGGTGGCTCACGCCTGTGATCCCAGCACTTTGGGAGGCCGAGGCGGGTGGATCACGAGGTCAACAGATCGAGACCATCCTGGTCAACATGGTGAAACCCCGTCTCTACTAAAAAAAAATACAAAAAATTAGCTGGGCATGGTGGCGCGTGCCTGTAATCCCAGGTACTCAGGAGGCTGAGGCAGGAGAATTGCCTGAACCCAGGAGGCGGAAGTTGCGGTGAGCCGAGATCGCGCCATTGCACTCCAGCCTGAGTAACAAGAGTGAAACTCTGTCTCAAAAAAAAAAAAAGAAAAGAAAAATAAATCAATAAATAAGCAACTAAATAAAAAGTTAAAGTAACTGAAATGGGACAGGCCTGGTGGCTCATACCTGTAATCCCAACACTAGGAGGTGGTGGTGGTTGGATCACTTGAGGTCAGGAGTTCTAGACAAGCCTGGCCAACATGGCGAAACCCCATCTCTACCAAAACTACAAAAATTATCTGGGCGTGGTGTCATGTGCCTGTAGTCCTAGCTACTAGAGAGGCTGAGGCAGGAGAATCACTTGAACCCAGGAGGCAGAGGTTTCAGTGAGCTGAGATCGGGCCACTGCACTGCAGTCTGGGCAACAGAGTGAGACTCTGTCTTAAAAAAGTAAATAATAAATAAAAGTAATTAAAATGAATGCCTGCTGATAAAAGTCTATGCTTTCAATGGATATTTGACCAATCTGGCAAGTTGATATAAATAATGATTATTTTAGCTCTTCACTTCACTGCAAATCATGTTTTCCTGCATTATTTTAGGAATAACGCAGGAAATATTTGTGTGTATATATCTATACATAAATACACATGTGTATATTTATACATATGCCTTATACATACAACATATATATTTTATTCAAAGTCCTGTCAAAGCTGGCACTTGACTAAAACTTGCATTTGTGCTTTGATCCTGACATGTATTTTTTTTTGTTTAGAGTGAGAAGCTTTCAGTCTAATTTTGGTTTGAATCTTATTTAATTACTTATCCTGGTGTGAGCTGCTAAGGCACAGTTCCACTGTCTCTTGTATTGTTTATCTTTTGATCACACAGGGCAGGTTTCACTTTGTCTTATATTCATAGAAATGTTTATAAGATAATCCTGAATCATAAGTAAGAAAGTTTGCTTAACTAGATTTGATTAATACATAATATACACGATCGTCATCTTCCCAACTTAAGAAAGACCATTAAGACATGTTTGAACTAACTGTGGGTTGAAGTTTAAAGTCATATTCAAGAATTGCCCACACAAATCCCTGCAGGGGCCAGGCAGGTAGAAGGGGGAAAGCAGACTAGAGAGATATCTAGGCCAAGGGGACAGCTAGTGGCTGCCAAGCAGGAACGCAAGCCCAGTGCTGCCAGATCTTCAGATTAAAAGCTGGTATTCTAGAGTTTTCAATGGAATCTTTCAATTCTTAAATGTTGGCAATTAGTTTATAAAGCACTGTGGGAGCCAAACCAAGCATGGCAGGTGTTCTCAAGTTTATACAGCCTTTGCTCAATATGAAAATGCGTAAAATATTTCATAACTTTGTAGGCTTTCTTTTTAGGAGTCAGCTTGAACTGCCCATGCCTTCTTTTTGACTCTTCATTATTGCTGTCCATGTAGCCCAGCAATCTTCTTTATCTGCTGCAGGTTGTTCCTGGTCCCTCAGGTTTTGTTGCCCAAAAGACATCTTACTACGTCAATGAAGAAGGAGTTGATCGATTTCATATTACCACAATCAGTTGTTCAGTGTGTAACATGAACAACATGAGCCTTCAAAAATTGGCTCCTGTTTACTGGGCTCTGTGAGGTATATAAATAAGTTGGTCTCATTGCATATAAGCTAAGATGCAAATTCAGAAGACGCTCATTCTCATTCTCAGTAAAGTTGTCTGCTCCTTGAGAAGCAACTATGAAATAATGCTCTAGAGGCAAATATAAAAACCTTAGAGATCCTGTGTGAAGTAGTGAAAAACTTGAGAATGGCTTAGCAGGTGTTTTTTCCTTTGTTTGTAAGGAAACAGGTTGCTAAACTACTCCTTGCAAAATGCAGATAAAAGATTTGCTGAATAAGTGCTTCAATCACAAGGTGATTCCCAGGAGTTATTCCAGTCATATTGCTCCATGTTGTAATTATGACTGAAAAATAATTGCTTACCTTCTCAGGAAAGAATACAGTGGATAAGAGCTGTCATAAGGAAGCTTATAAAGTTAAAGATATTTAAATAATTTCCTGGCTATTATTCATTCAATTTGCACATTTAACTCAACTTTCCTGACACCGATAACCTCTAAGCTTTCTTCTTTTTTCTCTGTTAGCAATATTAACTTTCTCCCATAAGGAGAAAATGCTTTATTTGTGCTCTTTCATCCCGGGGAAATGCCTCTATCCCTATCCCCCATCTGCTTCTCTACCTCTAAATAGTGACTCAGCTGCCACCTTTTAGTGTAAGTCTTCCCCAAACCCTATTCGGAATTTCCCCCTCTTCCTATGGCACTTTTAAAAATACTTCTATTAATAGCTCTGATAAAAAAATAGCTCTGATTACCTTCCCCCTTGTATTATAATTGTATAACTGCTGTACTTGGGAGCAGGGACCTCCTTTTAAGCTATTTGTCATGTTGACCAAGATGTTTCATGAAATACAAAGAGGAACAGCACTTAAAGACTGCTCAGTGAGTGTTTTATGCATGTTTACTAAGTAGATTTTTATTTCTCTTTAATAAGTTAACTACATTTTAATTCTGGTTTTCTTACCTCTTAAAACTTTCTTACTTGGGTATGCTTGGTTAGTTAATTTCTTCTTAAATTTTAGTAGTAGACATACAATAGAACATGTTCATTTCTTCATCAAATTGTCAAATAATTAATCTTGGGACTTCATGCATATGCTTTGTACTAGCGGAACATTTCCAACTTATCTGATAGGAAAGTGAATTGGGGTTGGCACATAGTAACTCAGATTGCAGAGTAGGAACTTCTTGGAAAGAGAATTAGTGTAACAGGTTTAAGGAGGGGCCATTTCTTTGTAAGTCGAAAGTGTCAGCCTAAAAATCAACTTCCTTCTTTAATTTGGTAACTTAATTTTTTCCCCACTGTGATAATTTTTTTAAAAGACTTGTAATGTGTTGTGACTTGAAATGTGTCAGGTACTTTTCCAGCATTATCTCATTTAATCCTCATAACTCTGTGATGTAGATAGTATTTGTAAGCTTCTTTACACGGGTGATTAAACTGTAGCTGAGGATTGTGCCCAAGGTCGCAGAGTAACTGGTGGAGCTAGGATTCAAGTCCACGTCTGTTATACTCTGAAGCCAGTCCTCCTGACTATTGCCTTGGGTTCCTTAGCTGTCTAGAGCACTGTGAAGGGGAGATGAGAGAGGCCACTTTCTCACCTATCTATCAAGTGTCAATTCTGATTATTGTCACAAATGAATGAATCTTCACCAAGAAAAACATAGTTATAAATTGGTTTTACAATCTATTAAAAATATTGCCTTTGAATGAGTACTCTGGGTTATGATCATCTTGTGACTCAAATTCAGTGGGTCCTAGGCAGGGCTCAGGTGTGTCACTGTGGATAATGGTTGCATAATCATTTCATTTCAACAGACAGTCCATGTAAAGAATGACTAGAATTATAGCTCAGTGCTTGTTTTGGCAGGAAGCATTCCCTTGGCCCCAGTTGTCCCATCATACTTAGAGATCTCATAAGTCTTGCAGATGTATTTCCTCTTTCCTTCATTTATTTATTCAACTCATATTTATTAAGCACCCATTATGGGCCATGGAATAATGAACAATAAATTTG